GAGAGGTCAAGTGAGCCAATGAAAACAAAAGAAAGCAAGACAAGGTGTGTGACTACTAACCGTCATATTATGGAATTTTTGTGCTTCTGGTAGTTGAGGGCTGCTGGAGGGATTGATTCTGCAAGAAAGAAGAGTAAAAGTTCAGAGTGGAGGGTTTCCTTCTGTTAAACAAATTTTGATGAATATTAAGGTCTGAATTATTTTTGACCCCTGCTGCTTAAAGTTTCTGTCAAATTGGGTGTATTTAAAAATTAAAATTTTAAAAATACACCCTATTATAGACAAAGTCAATGCCAAGCTGAGTTAAATTTTTAGAAAATATTTTTATATTTCAACACACACTTATTTTTATACCCTGACTTTTTCCTGGAAAGAAACAATATATATTTTCTAGATTCTAGCAAATGATACAGATAAATAAAAGTTAATGGTGTTGTAAGGTGTCATTTGGATTTAGCACAAATGGAGATGCACGTGGGTAACTCTGAGTGTGCTTTGATTCTGCATTCAAGTCTTTACTTGGCCTCATTGTCCAAATTTGGCCTGAGTATCCATAGATACTGCTTGAAGCAGATCCAAATTCATGACCCATTGTACTTAGGCAACTGTCCCAGAACTGGCTGATTCTCCCAGCCTTATTCCAGCCTGCTTGGATTTCTCCCATTTACTAGCGGTCTTCACTGCTGAGGCCTCTCTGTGGCCCCTATGATGATAAAATTGACCTCAACTCAGCCTGGTCACCATGGCAAGACTCCATGTTTACAAAAAATATTTAAAAAATTTAACTAGTTGGTGGTATGCGCCTGTAGTCCTAGCTACCCAGGAGGCTGAGGTGGGAGGATCTCTTGAGCCTGGGAGTTGAGGCTGCAGCAAGCTATGATTGTGCAATTGTATGAACCTAGCTTGGGCAACACAGTGAGACCCTGTTTCAAAAAGAAAAATAAAAGTTGACCTTGAGTGAGCATCTTGTAAAAGCAGCCCTAGCAGTGCTGTGAGCCATCATCACCTCATTCCCTATTACATCAGGAGAGGGTGATGTGGAAACACTGGCTAATTTGAAGTTGAAGGAAATAGAAAGGACGTGGGTTTAGGAAAGGCAATGGAATGTAGCCTTGATATCTTAATAAGAGGTTAAGGTGAGGGATCACACAGGGATGCCCTCCGGGACTCAGGACAGGAGGAGAGCAGCCTGCAGATGGGCTTACAACAGCTGCAGTTATGGACTTGTCCAGAGAGAAGGCTGAAGGTTGAAGGGGCCAGGACTAGCTGGCTCAGAGGGCAATTTAAGCCTGATTCTTGCAGTTCCACAAAGATGGTATACTGTCAAGGCTCTACAACAGCAACTGTGTAAATCAGCTCAAGAAGAGAGGTTCTGGAAAAGGAACCAGAAGATAATGTAGCAGCCAGAGTCTAAATTTGTGTTGTCAAAGTGACGAGGTACAAGTCAATTTGTGTTTTCCTCTCCTTTAACTGGGTGTTCTCTGATGTTGTAGAGATGCTCAAAGATTCTCCACTCTTGCCTCCTCTGAGTGTTCTGCTTGCCTTTGAATGGCTGGTGAGGTCAAGCCACTATCTTTGATTCCAGATGTCCTGAGAGAGATGAAGATACTAGTTTATAGCCCTCACCTCTGAGACTGATTACACAACTTCAGTATCACCTGCTTCTCATTTTTCAGCTCTAAAAATAGCGAAGATGAGTCCACTGATAGCTGAGTTACCTCATCAAAAGGGTTGTTGTGTCCAAATATCATTGATTAGAAACTTTGTCTTAAACACATCTTAGATGACATCTTTTCCTCCTGTCAAAAGAAGAGGTGTATGAGTACTAAATACTGTAACAGGGTCTGTTGCTATTATACACACACATATAAGTTTTATGTATAAATTATACATGTGTGTAATTCAGCACAAATTAATTTTATGTGAGCCCCACAGAAGTTTTGAGAATTAAATATAACCCCCATTCTACAGATAAGAAAACGGAGCCTCTATGAGAATATGTAATTTGTTCAGTGTTTTCCAGCTAGAAGTGGTTGAGTGCAAAAACTGTGATCTTCTGACTTAGAATGTGTTCTCCTCTGTCTGTACTGCAGCTCACTTTTTTGATGAAAAGTAAAGAAAAAAATGTACAAAACCGTGAACACCTTCCTTATTTCGGCACACTCAACACTGAGTGAGAACATTAAGACCTAAGATGTATTAAATGATACCAGATCAGGACTATCATCATGAAAGGTGGACTCAGGGACTTGGGTTTCTCACTTGTTTTCACATCCATAATAAACCAAGCCCCAAAATTTGCCAGCATTCTTCTTGCTTATTTGTTTTTTCTTGTAACAGTTAATCTTTGCTTTGATGATTCTTTTTAGGATAACGTTGCTAAGAGGAGAAGATGGAAATAGTGTCATGACCTTGGGAGATAAGCAGAAAGGAAGCACAGGCACTTTGTAAATATCTCAGTGTTTATAGCTGGGGAGAAAAAAAAGATAGCTTGAATCTTCCCTTTGAACAAGACCAATTTTATGCTCCCAGCTAATGTGAAATGTGACCAAAAAAAGGACCAGAGAAAAAGGACTGATCCCCAACTGTTCTGGAGAAAGATTAAATGCACTTCTGGTTCCTTTCATAGCTATTAATCATTTTAATTGGTTCTGAAGCCAAAAAACTTTGACAGCATTTGAGATGGGAATCCAACTTTGTAAATCATAAACTATGGAGAAGTGATTATAGCCTTCATTTGGAAGCTGGGCACATACTTTATTAAGTTGCTACAAGATGAAACATCAAAATCCAACTTAATCACATAATCCCTTTGGGCACAGAGGTTCAAGCAGGTGAATTCTGGGACATTGGCTTCTTGGGAAGGAAATACTCTGCCCTAGACCTTTTGGAGATGACCCCCTGACACATGGTGCTCCTTGCCATTCCTGCTGCCATCATCATTCTTGGCATTTTCAAGAACCAGGAAGAGAGCTCATCCAATCCCTGTGCCTCCCTGTTCCATGTCCTCTCCTCACATGACACTGTGCTGTGAATAGATGTCCCTCACTTTTCCATCCCCTCCAGTTCACTCCTAGTGGTTCAAGGATATGCACTGGGTTTTTAACTTGCGAGCACTTGTGCAAAGCAGACTCTTAACAAGTATATCTTGAGATTTTTAACTGAATGAAATAAATGTAAATAAAATTCTGAGTATTTTTCCATTTGATTTTTTGGAAAATATATGCAGTTCCCAAATTTGAACAATAAATCTACATTTATAATGTAAGATTATGCTCCCAGAAAGCTAAAGAAAAGTTGAAATTATCATAATTATATAATCCCTATTGTATTTCAACTCTTAGACATAACTTTTTTTTATTGCATTTTAGGTTTTGGGATACATGTGCAGAGCATGCAATACAGTTGCATAGGTACACACATGGCAGTGTGTTTTGTTTGCTTTCTCACCTTCACCCACATTTGGCATTTTTCCCCAGGTTATCCCTCCCCACCTCCCCCTCCCACTGGCCCTCCCCTTTTCCCCCCAACAGACCCCAGTGTTTGGTACTCCCTTCCCTGTGTCCATGTGTTCTCATTTTTCATCATCCGCCTATGAGTGAGAATATGCAGTGTTTCATTTTCTGTTCTCGTGTCAGTTTGCTGAGAATGATGTTCTCCAGATTCATCCATGTCCCTACAAACGACACAAACTCATCATTTCTGATTGCTGCATAATATTCCATGGTGTATATGTGCCACATTTTCCCTATCCAGTCTATCATTGATGGGCATTTGGGTTGATTCCAGGTCTTTGCTATTGTAAACAGTGCTGCAATGAACATTTGTGTGCATGTGTCCTTATAGTAGAACGATTTATAGTCCTTTGGGTATATACCCAGTAATGGGATTGCTGGGTCAAATGGAATTTCTATTTCTAAGGCCTTGAGGAATCGCCACACTGTATTCCACAATGGTTGGACTAATTTACACTCCCACCAACAGTGTAAAAGTGTTCCTTTTTCTCTACATCCTCTCCAGCATCTGTCGTGTCCAGATTTTTTAATGATCGCCATTCTAACTGGCGTGAGATGGTATCTCAATGTGGTTTTGATTTGCATCTCTCTGATGACCAGTGACGATGAGCATTTTTTCATATGATTGTTGGCCTCATATATGTCTTCTTTCGTAAAGTGTCTGTTCATATCCTTTGCCCACTTTTGAATGGGCTTGTTTGTTTTTTTCCTGTAAATCTGTTTGAGTTCTTTTAATCATTTAACTTCGAAAAAGTGAATATTTTTCAATTTTTTTCTTTTTCTCAATCACTATTGAGCACAGTTGAGTTAAATGCAATAAATATTCCGTTGGGACTAAAGATTTTCTGTTCAAAGCACATTTAATGATTTCTTTCCTGTTTTAATTGTATTAAATTTATGAGCCCTCTATTTTTTATTTCTAGTGTCAGTTTATTTCATTTCCATTTTTCACTTGTTTTTCTAAAATAACAACAAAATGCAATTAAAATGTGTAAATAATGCTGCTTACAACACCTCCATACCTACATGTGGTATAAATAAAAGTAGTATGGCACTGGCACATTAAAAAAGGAGGCTTGAAATATCAACATTTAATGTAAAAAGGCACAAGTGCGGTAATGGAAAGTGAATATTTGAAGGTTTGGAAACTCTTTGAAGCATTTCTTTGCTGAATTCCAAAGGCAAACAATTTTATTTTTATAATTTTGTTAGCTGGGCATATTTTACCACTTATGGTGGTAATGTACAGTTAACTTTTAAAACAACCTATTAAAATAGTGAATCAGTTAGGTAAAAATGATTAAATAAACGAAAGCACAGCGGGTCATGAGAATCACAGTTTGATTTCATATTTAGAAAACCCCAACTCTGGTACAATTTCTCATTATCTATTAAAGACACTCTGAGTGACTTGGTTGACCATCATAATCAAAGGAGATTTATGAAGCACCCATTATCACTCAGAATAGAATGAGCCCCAGAGTAGTCACAAAAGGAGAATAATTTGTTCTCTACTACATAAAGAAATAATTTTTCTATCCCAAATGAAAATAAAGTCACTTCTCACAAAATAAACATCAATTTAGCAGAATTAAGTTTCCTCTTAGGGCATTTGATGCTTGAGGATTACCAAGGATCTATGCAATACAGCACTAAATTTTGGAATTAGCTGAGAATGATCCCAGATTTCCTCTAGCAAACATAATTTTGGCCACAAGTGAAGACAAATGATAAGAGTTATAAGCTCAATTCTAGAAGAACACCTCTCATCAGAATTTAATAGATCTTATTTAGGTTTCTAGGAAGCATTTAACTACATAAAACTTACAGGGAAAAATGGCCATATTTGAAAACTGTTACGAGGATCAAAGTAGAGCACAGGATTGTAGTGAGCAGAGTCACAGAACATACAAAGAGGTAATGTACAGTCAGTCCCACTGGAACCTGCAGAACCACATTCTTGTATACTGATTTATGCTTCATCTTGTTCCACTGGCAGATATTCTCATTCTCCAAAGCACAGGGAGCTGCCACTTCTGGGTGGGCCCAGCATTTCAAAATCGGGAACTCTTGGTCACAATACATCAACAAATCTAGGTTACTGACCACAGTAAAGGTTTCTCCATCTTTACTCTGTGGCCGATGATAGTGGTAGTGCACAGGCAAAAAGGCTTGAAAACGATCAATGCACTGTGAATCTTGTCTGACATAAATGAGAACTTCAGATTCCTTGGACAAATAGGGGCATCTGTATCAAAATTTTCCAAAACCATCATTGCTTCTGTTAAGTTTCTCTCTCCTAATGAAGCCAACTCATATGGATCCACAAAATGTCCTGTAGGAATATTCTGTTTCATTAAGACTCGGCACCTCTGTTATTCCTCGATGCCTTCTCCAAACTTCACTTTTATTAAAAGGTCTCTGGGGAAACCTTCTTTCAAAACTTCTTGTCTCAAAGTAATTTCAGAACACGTGGCCCTTATGCCGGGGTCAGAGCTTGCGGAGGTGAAGGCTGCGGCAGGCCCGCGCGTGAGCCAGGTCGCAGCCCAGAGGAGCAGCCAGACGACCGCCCGAACCCCCGCTACCCAAGCCGCCAGGACGCCGGAAGCCCGACGCCCAAGAGTGGTGCGCGGAGCCAGCAGCAGACACAGGAAGGGGCGTGCACTGGCCGCCCGCGGTTCCTACAGCGCGCTACAGCGGATTTCGGGGCCAGGACCCAGTGCTGGGTGTGCGGGCCTAAAGCCCGCGGATCTTCACTGCCTGCAGCCCTGGCCCCCCAAACGTTCCCGCGCGGCGTGAGGCGTCCGTTCCCGCCCCTCCGTTCCCCTCTCCGCCCTCCCTGGGGCGGTCAGTTTTCTTTTTACTTCTCCAATGTCGTTTCATGCCATGTTTTTCCTTCCTGTATGGATACACTTCTTGCCCCCAGCACACACACACTGGCCTTCTTCAGATCCTTGAAAGGGCTGAGCATGTTCCTGCCTCTGCGCCTTTGCACAAGCTATTTCTTCTGCTGGCAGATTCCAGGCTAACTCCTCCTCATTCTTAAGGCATCAGCATAGGGACAACTCCAGGGAAACCTTCCCTTACCTGGCAGCCCAGATCTGGTTCTCCATATTAAACACATTTGTAACACCCAGTACTCTTCCACTGTAGCAAAGCACCCAGATCATAATTATTTCTGCAGTTATTTCTTTGGAGTCTATTTTACCCTCTACCTGCTAAAGTCCTTGAGGGTAGAAAGTATATCTGCTCTATTCAGGAACTTGTCCCTGCCTCCCAGTTGGGGTCCTAGTGATTCTTGCCTCTTGATATTCATGACCTTGTATACAGTCCCCTACAATGAACAAAGCTGATCCATATAACTGATAGCACGTTGCAAAATTGTGGTGTGTGACTTCTGAGGCTAGATCACAAAAGACATTATAGCTTCCATTTTGATCCCTCTCGGGGATTGCTTGCTCTGGGTGAAGTCAGCTATCATGTCATAAGGATGCTCAAGCAGTCTGTGGAGAGCCACATGCAAGGAGGAACTGAGGCCTCCTGCCAAGAACCACCACGTGAACTATCTTGGAAGTGGATTCAGCCCTGGTTGAGCCTTCAGATGACTGCAGTCCTGGCCAACATGCTGACTGCAACCTCAGGAGAAACACAGAGCCACCCAGCCAAAATGGTTCTTGAATTTCTGACCTGTAAAAAATGTGTGAAACTATACACACACACACACACACAAAAACACACAGACATATATACATTGTTTTATGCTGCCATGTTTTTGGGGTAATCTAAGATGCAGCAATAGGTAACTAATATACTACAGTTCCTGGTGTAGTGTAGCCCTCAATAACTAGGTGTTGAATGAAAACACATTGCAATCCTTCTTTTGTATCTGAGGAATGTGCAGCATGTTCAGCAGAGAGAGGTAGGTTAACTTGTTTCAAATCTCAGCAACTAAGTCTTGAGGCAGGATTGGACCCAGATCTCCGGTCTGCATGCTCCTTATTGGTGTCATTCCTATTCTGCTTTATCTCCTTTAAAGACAGGAATCTTAACATGTAGCTGGGCAGAGGATTTTATGTTTTAATACACAATCTTTCACTGATTACATTAAGGACGGGACTACACACTGGATATTTAGTGCAAAGTTCGCCAAAGTGCATCATGTTCACTTGGGAGGATGTGCAGGATGATCCACTGGAGTGCTGGGAGAAAATACTTTAAGTTTTTTTTTACCTTGATTTAAAAACAATGTATTCATTCTAATAGTGGTAAAAAATATATAACAAAATTCATCATCTTAGCTGTTTTTAAGTGTAACATATTCAGTAATGTTAAGTACTTGTGCAGGCAATCTCCAGAACGTTTTCATCTTGCAAAACTAAAACTCTATACCCATTAAACAGTCACTTCCCATCTTCCCTGTCAACCTAGACCCTGGTAACCACCTTTCTACCTTTCATCTCCATGAATATGATTACTCTATATATCTCATATAAGTGGGATTATAACAATATTTGGCTTTCAATGACTGGCTTATTTCACTCAGTGTAACACACTCAAAGTTCATCCTGTTGCAGCATGTAACACAATTTCCCCCCTGAAATTCTGAATAAAAACATCTTCGGACCTTAGGATGTTAAGGTGATGAAAAGGCTGAATGATATTCCACTATGTGTGTGTAATACATTTTGCTTTTCCATTCATCCACTGACTGACTGATATTTGGGTTGCTTATACTTCTTGGCTATTGTGAGTAATACTACCATGAACATGAGTGCACATTTTACCTTTTTAATGTTTATTTATATTTTATCCTTTAGAATTGTCTTTTTTGCATATGCTTTATAATTTACATAGCCAATTATGATAGTAGCACATACATATACTGTCCGTATAAATAGCTATACATGTATTAGGAGAGACTAGTCAACATTTTTTACAAATAGGGATGTGTGATTTAAAAATTTGGAGACCTCTGATTTTGTAAGTGTCATAGATGCCATTAGATGCCCCATCCATAACTCCTTGCTTTGAGCATGTCAATGCACATTGACACAACTTCCATCTATCAGCATTTTCTCTTTATCTCTGGAGTCAAATCCACCCGTGATATGACAGCTCAGAATAATAGGAAATTGTTCCTCTATCCATCCTGGCATTAATTATTAGCCAATGATGGATAGGAACTAGTGCATTAATACCCATACCCTTTCTCCCTCCTGAATTCTCACTTACGTTTTAGGTGTGCTTAGCAGAGCTGAGCTCCAGCTGCCCACAGTGGAACTCACTTGTGCATACCCTGCATTGACTCCCTTCCCCTTTTCACTCCCCTACTCCCCAACCTGTGATTCCTGGGACCAAATTCCAAATAAAATGCTGATTTGTGGATCCATGTCTCAGAGTCAGCTTTTGGAGGAATCCCAACTAAGAGAGTAAATGAATGTAAAACTCCTTGAAATCATTCAGCCCGAGAGATCACTGTATAAAGCATCATGCATGGGAAAGGAGCAACACTTTGACTTACTGTCTGTCATTCTCAAAAGCAAATTAACTAGATCCAAACTACTTGACAATCCCATTTCCTTAACAAAACTAATTCAGCTTTTGTTTCTTAATCAGGGATTTTACTGGCAGGGAGGAGAGTTTCATAAGATTTTAGAGTTACAACAGACAAGTGTTCAATTTTCTCAGCTCACAAATGAGGCTGCTATGCCCCCAAGACATTTAGCAGTTTTCCAGATGCCACACAGCTAGAAGGTGCTACAGTTGTCACCGGAACCTGTATGGAAGCTCTCTGGACTTAAGTTTCTAACAAACCCTTTTCCTACATCTCGATACACGACTGGTCAGATCAGGGATTTCAGCAGCCCTTTTCTTAAAGGATCAAATAGTCAACATGAAGGCTTTGCAGGCCGTATGTTCTTTGTCACAGCTACTCCACACTTCCCTTAGAGCACACAGGCAACCACAGATGTCAAGTAAAAAAGTGAGTGTGGCTGTGTTCTGATAAAACTTTATTTACAAAAACGGGTGGCCAGAGCCTGCGTAGTTAGCCAACCCTTAGGCTAGGGATACAGGAGACAAAGGTCCTCTTTGCCTTTACATTTAAGATAAATTTTTGTTCTTGTTTTTTTTTTTTTTTTTTTTTGAGTCAGGGTCTCACTCTGTCACCCAGGCTAGAGTGCAGTGGTGTGATCATGGCTCACTGTAGCTTCAACCTCTTAGGCTCAATAGATCATCCTGTCTTTGCCTCCTGAGTAGGTGAGACTATAGATGCCCCACCATGCCCAGCTAATTTTTAATTTTCTTGTAGTGATGGGGTTTTGCCATGTTGCTCAGGCTGTTCTCAAACTTCTGGCTGAAGCAAAACTCCCACCTTAGTCTCCCAAAGTGCTGGGATTACAGGGATGGGCCGCCTTGTTCAGCCTGTGAAAAAATTTTAATTTTTAAGTCTCAAATTATTTATTTATTCATTATTTATTTATTTATTGAGATGGAGTTTTGCTCTTGTTGCCCAGGCTGGAGTGCAATGGTGTGAATTTGGCTCACTGCAACCTCCACCTCCCAGTTCAAGCAATTCTCCTGCCTCACACTCCCAAATAGCTGGGATTACAGGCATGTGTCACCATGCCCAGATAATTTTGTATTTTTTTAGTAGAGACAGGGTTTCACCATGTTGGTCAGCCTGGTCTCAAACTCCTGACCTCAGGTGATCCACCCACCTCAGCCTCCCAAAGTGCTGAAATTACAGGCATGAGCCACTGGGCCCAGCCTCAAATAATTTATTTTTAAATAGTATGTCGTGGCTGCGTGTGGGTGGCTCACACCTGTAATCCCAGCACTTTGGAAGGCCGAGGCAGGTGGATCACGAGGTCAGGAGTTTGAGACCAGCCTGGCCAACATGGTGAAACCATGTCTCTACTAAAAATACAAAAATTAGCTGAGTGTGGTGGCAGGTGCCTGTAATCTCAGCTACTTGGGAGGCTGAGTCAGGAGAGTCACTTGAACCTGGGAGGCAGAGGTTGCAGTGAGCTGAGACCGTACCATTGCACTACAGCCTGGGTGACAGAAAAAGACTCTGTCTCAAAAAAAATAATGTATGCAGTCACTTAGATACAGGTTTGAATGATTTTCCTCAGACCCATAGAAGAGCTTACTGGGCCCTACCATGTATCATTGCCATTTATCCTCCCTCTCAGATTTCTGCTGTGTTAATCCTGCATAATTACTAGGCATTATGGCTATTATGTTCTAGATGTTGCTTACAGGACACAATAGCACACACACAGACAAGATTTTCTTCCCCAAATATCAAAATGAGACTGTATACTTTTCACTGTGTCAATATTAATTACTTGTAATTTAGTGTTGGATGCTATTTTCTATATTAATTTCAACACAATGAGATGAGTCTAATTTGGAATGATAAGATTCATTTGCATTTAAATTGACATTTTAAGCATTCCCTGTGAGGAACCGATAGAATCCATGATTATAATTATAAGCATTGTTTCCATGGCAGGTTTGTTTCCCTTTGCAAAGATTTGCAAATATGGTGCATCAAGTTTAATATTAATAATGGTGACACAGTAACACCATGTTTCTCAAGAGAGACTTGTGAACAGAGTTTCCATATTTTGAAAATTCTCTTCTAGTGGAACAGTGGATAAGCAAAGCTTATTAG